TAGCTGTTGCAGATTTTCCGGGCTGTGTGGCCGTGGTCTTGGCATTGTAGGACCTGACGTTTCGCCACCAGCTGTGACTGGCATCCTCAGAGGTATAACACAGAAAGGTGGAGTACTCTCTGTGTCAAGGTGAGAAGAAAAATGGTAGGCAGGTGATTTATATTTACTCAGGAAGGTGGGGTAGGGCTGAGTCATTATCTTGTAGGAGTTCCCCAGGCTGTGCAACATGCTATTGGAGGAGCTTTCCTGAGGAGGTTCTTTTGCATACGGATTGGCTGTTGAAATTCTAATCTTATCTGTAGTGGTATTGTAAGATGTAGAGCATTTTGTGTTTTTCAGGACAGGAAATCATAGGATGTGTATAAGCAATAGATGACATGTCAAAATAGAAAATAAGAGAGGCTGGGGGGGATGCCTGTATAAAAGCAAGGCTCCGGGACTTTGGCCAGGAAATACAAACTATGATGTGGGAAGCGACAAAATTTCTACCATCGCTGGAGAGAATGGGCTTATTTCCCTAACTCCATTTGCTTCTAGCTGGGAAGCCCATGATGACCAAATCGCTAAATTTATCAGAATATACAGCCTTGCCCAACTGTTCTCTCTCTCGTAAACCTGGAGACGGTGCCTTGAATGCTGATGAGGAGGGGGAAGACTCGAGCCCAGATTCTGAGATGGTTTTCATATCCAATCTGAAGGCATCATTTCATGTCAGAGCATCACGCGACTGCAAAGACAGTCCCAGATATCTGTCAACAGCATGCTTTTAAAAGCAGGAAGGCATGTGGTGTGTGTTCTAACACCCCCAACACACACACACACACTCTCTCATTTCGAGCAGGCTTTTGGAGGCGGGAAGGATGGAAATGAGGGGGTGGGAATCCATTAAGTAACCAGCCCGCTGCCTCAAATGCCCGACCGTGGGGGAGGAGAGCCGAAGGACGCTTTTGGCAAAGCTGACAGATAGGTCTTTCACTGTCGTGGCCTTTTGACGCTGTTCAGTTCGGCACACATTCAGGACAAGGCCCCCATTGTCTTGCTTATAGAAGAGGCATTCTGTCTGCTTCACATTTTAATCTCCACAGTACAGGCCTTTGCCACTCCGACTTAAAAATCGGAGACCATCCGATCGGTTGGGAAAGAATGCGCATTGTGGCTAAACACAAAACGCGTGTTACCTTCGCACCAGTAAGGTGCCAGAGGATTGCAGGCCTCTTGTTTGTTTGCTGAAAAGGGCACTGGCTTCCCTGTTTTACAGAAAGGAAACTGCAGCTGAGGGATGCAGACCTGACAAAGGCCACCCAAATAGGTCTTGAAAAGTCCCGGAAGCCTTTTGGAGCCACCCTAATCCTACCCTCCAGAGGAAAGCCAAGGAGGCTTCAGAATGACTCTGCTTCACATCACTGGCCTGAGATATCGGAGAACTTTCCCAGTCATCAGTGTGATGGAGCCAGTCTGTTGCTCCATGCAGCAATTTTGACAAATTGCCAAAACCTCCTGTAGCAAACCAACACGGAAGCAGCACTGATGGCTTCTTAAAACCTGGTCTGCCTACATTTATCGCCATCCTAACAAGAAATACATTCTAGAGCCACCTCTTCTACTCAGAAATTTGGAGACAAGAATGATTTCAAGCGAGCAAAAACCTTTTGGAGGCATTTCAGCTTGGAACAAGCAAACTATTTATTTCTAGGACTCTGCTCTTCAGGAAGACAACAGGCAGATACACATTTTCGGTATGCTCCTCCTTGTTTGCTAAAATCAGCTACAGACAACCACTCAGTGGCCCCCCCACTTTATATGACGGCCATCACAATCCATGCCTTGGTAATTTCTGGAGTAGACTACTGCAGTGCGCTCTGTGTGTGGGGCTTCCCCAGAAGACTGTCTGGACTGACACAGTCCAGTACCTTGCTTTATCACAGAAGAGTGAGTATAAACCCTGGTCTCACTGGCTGCTAATTGTTTTGGACTCGATTAGAGGTGCTGAGCAACCTGGGCCTAGAGGAAGGTCCCCAAGAGACTCTCCCGTCTATTAAGATCCATCAAAGACACTCCACTCAGGGGCCAGGCCAGCAAGTATTCGTGCCAGCCCTGTGGAACTTCCTCCCTTCAGATGTTCCCCTCTCTTCTTCAACGGCCTCTGCTGGAAAGCAAATTAAGACCTTCTTCTTCTGCCAGGCCTTGAATGAGCGGATCATTGTGATCAGCGGATCCTATGGCCATTGTGATGAGCTGATCATATGGCCAGGGTCCGACATACATATTCCCCATACAGACCCCATACAGACTCTCCCGTCTATTAAGATCCATCAAAGACACTCCACTCAGGGGCCAGGCCAGCAAGTATTCGTGCCAGCCCTGTGGAACTTCCTCCCTTCAGATGTTCCCCTCTCTTCTTCAACGGCCTCTGCTGGAAAGCAAATTAAGACCTTCTTCTTCTGCCAGGCCTTGAATGAGCGGATCATTGTGATCAGCGGATCATATGGCCATTGTGATGAGCTGATCATATGGCCAGGGTCCGACATACATATTCCCCATACATATTCCCCATACAGTTGGGGGCTCAACACTGATTAGTGATCCCAGGCCCCAGGGAGGCCAGGCTTGCGGCAACCAGGGCCAGGGCCTTTTCAGTGGCGGCCCCTACCTGGTGGAACAAGCTCCCGGAGGAGATCAGGGCCCTGCGGGACCTCTCACAGTTCCGCAGGGCCTGCAAGACGGAGCTCTTCCGCCAGGCTTTCAATTAGGAGCCAAAAAAAAAATGTAATAATAAATAATTTTTTAAAATTTTTTTTAATATGCTGCTGTTTTTAGTATTAATCTGGCAGGGGTTACTTAGAAAGCCAGTTCGGTTTAGTGGTTAGGAGCGTGGACTCTAATCTGGGAGAACCGGGTGTGATTCCCCACCCCTCCACATGCAGCTGCTGGCGTGACCTTGGGTCAGTCACAAGTTCTTTCAGAGCTGTTCTCTCAAGGGCAGTTCTCGAGAGAGCTCTCTCAGCCCCACCTCCCTCACAGGGTGTCTGTTGTGGGGAAGGGAAGGGAAAGGAGACTGTAAGCCGCTCTGAGACTCCTTTGGGTAGTGAAGGGCGGGGTATAAATCCAATCTCCTTTATATTTAATGAATAGATTAACTGTTAAAATATGTACATTTTATAAAAGAGTGGTATAAACAGTACATAAAATAAAATTTTGGGTAGTGGTCCCAGATTTTGGAACCAAACTCGGAGAGATTCTTTGGATCTAGGACCTTGTACAGACAGGCCTTTCACAATTAAGGAATCTGCTGTTGATGGGACTGCTACGGTTTTCACCTTCCTTCTCGATTCATCTATCATTCTGTTCTATTATATTTCTAAGTAGATTTGCTTGGGTACATGGTTGAAATATGAGTCAGATGTTCCCTAAATAAATATTTTTTCTGAACAGCCAGCAGAGAGCTGTAATTCCAAGCCTGCACTAGAGGGCCACTGCGTTAGGTTTTTCCAGGAACCTTTGAAGTGTTATGAGTGTAATTTATTTCACTGCTGTTGGATGAAACGTCACTCTAATAAAGTACACAAACCCGACCAATGGACATTTCTGGGTGCAGAGTGACTCTCACAACATTCTCCAACAGCAGATACTCGGCCTCTAACTCCCACTAGCAAGCACTCAAGTCACTTAAAGCCAAGGTTACAAAACTGAAAAAGAAAACAGATTATTTTGACAGTAGCTCTTGCCAAGTTAGTGATTCAGGGTATATGGTGGGCTTCAACACCTGATGGAGACGGAAAGCGTGGAAACTTCTGGCAAAGGACCTTGGGTTTTTGCCGAGAACAAAAAAATTAAGCAAAGAAACCGAATCTGTACTCATTTGTTGAGAACATCTCTTTTATTTTGCATCTGTTAGTCCCAGTATGCAAGGAGATACACAGCCCCTACCATACAAGGATCATGGCCACTGTGAGGAGTGAACTCAGCCCATCTCTCTATAGGTCTGTTTCCATAAAGCCTGACGCGCGAGAAATTTGAGTTGGGGGCATCTACCCAAAGGAAGACCGGCCAACTCACCTAAACCCCATGAACCTGAGAGAAATCCTGAGTGCATCAGTCAGATCTCTGTGCTTTGAGGTGAACAGCAGGGCACAACCAATTCCCAGACTTGCTCAGCGAACCAGATTGTGATCGATCACAAATAAGGAGTAATTCTTATTCATACAACACCAACCACATTCTTCTGTTACCCCCGTTCCATTTTCTACATAAGAGATACGAGGGAAGCTCTTGAAACTGACGTACCTTCAAGCGTTCGATGGCTTCCTCTCCTCCAGGAGTCGACATGATTCTCTCTTGGATACTGGAGACAGACGTTAAGCCCACCTGACTACTGAGAGAGCAGGAAGATGGAGATGCAGTGAGGGAGCCCATGGACGCTGTGGAAAAATGGCCAGGACGTTGATTCTCGGACGCTAACAAGTATCTGTGCTTATTGTTCTGAAAATCTTTCAGATCTGGGAGAAAAAGACGGACGGGAGGGGAAGGCAAAAAATGGGAGAGGCAAGGGGACAGATCGAAGGAGAAGGGAGCAGAAAAATAAAGGGAAGGAGAAAACACAGGAAGGAAACACCAGTGTAAGAGGAGAGCACATAAGCAGCAACACGGACAGGATTAATACTGTGAGATGGCAGTTCTGAAACACTTCCTTTGACGAAACCTCCCTGGGCACTAAGAATTTGGCAGGGGCTGCTGTTACTCTAAAGGAGGCTGGCAGGCAGGAGAATCAAACCCAGCTACGGAGCCTCTCTGCGGCCCGTCTCCTTCCAGTCTTTCAGAGGACAATTGTTTTTCATTTGTCGTGCCTTGACAAAATATTCCTCAGCTTTTTTTTTTAACACGGCTGTCGATTTTCTGGAACTCTGAAGCATTTGGCATTGATGCTTTTTAAAAAAACATATATATATTTGATACAGAGCTTGAAGGTGACTGGTGGATCAGCTTTGTGGAAAGGTGACCGGGGAAGGGGGCAAACTGAATAAGTGTGCACCCCAATAATACGAAGAACTTCTATCGTGTTTCTGACAGACAGACCTTAAAAGTTACCCTTTGGCTCTTTACGAATGCCAAAATAAAAACCATTTGCTCTTTAGTCAAGTCAAGTAATTTATTGTATTTAGCCATTGGCCGTGACAAAATACAAAATACCACAGAGCATTCATAAAACGTTAAAACGTTAAAATACAACCTTAGTGGCCGGGTTAAAATTAACTACTGGTCCGTGGTAAAAAAGAACAAAACAGGTTTGACCACCATCAAGTAGCCTGCCCCTTAGATCTAGTCTTAGATGCTGCTAAAGCAAACAGGGAAATTCTATGGGATAGATATAAGCATCATTATCTGACATTTGCTCTTTAGGACCCCGCATGGGTGCAATTTGAGGGAGACCCCTGGGAACCAGTGAAAGTAGCCCAGAACTAGATTGACTCGCAGTGGTCTGTCGGCTCCACCAGTCAGGCTAGGCTGTCATCTACAATTCGATACAGTGGCAAGAAACAGTGAATCAACTGCTTTTCTGCTTCAGTCTACTTGTCCATCAAAAGATGCACAATAAATACAGGTAAGTCCAGTTTTCAATTAATACGGGCAGATTTTCATATTGGACTACTAAAAAAGTCCTTTTTATTTAATGAGAGGTTATAAAAAAAATTGGTCGTGCTTCATGAAGGATGCTTGAAGACATCCCCATTAGAAGACAGGACTGAAAATTTCTCCAACCAATGCAAACCTTTCTGCCCTCCCCTACACTGGCCCACAAGTTTACTACTATCTGTTCAGCTCTAGCTAATTTGCCCTGTAGTGCCTATGGGAGTTCAGGAGACAATGAATTCATCGGTCTACAAAATGTCACAAGACTACCTAGAAGCTAGGTTTTGAGTTTGTTTGAAAACTGCCATCCACAAATACAGAAACAGGAATGGGGAAAGAGAGACGAGATTAGGTAACAAAGAAGTTACCAGGATGCACCAAGCAGGCAGAGAGAGAATGGAGTTCGTCAGACATCCGGCGGAAAAACTCATGCATTCAGAGGGAAGAGGGTCGAGCTTGCAATTGCTACGGCTGCTGCACAGATTTGCTGCACAGAGTTTGCTCTTGCACCATGCAGACGTCGCTCTCTCTCTCTCTCTCTGATAAGCTGCAGCCGCTCACTCTGAGGTCGGGGTTAAGCTCAACAAGCTGGAAGCAGCATAAGAAAAAGGCCAGAAGCAGAAACAGGGCGGAGACTTGCACCGCCAGGTACCCGAGCTCAAGGAAATTCCAGACAGATCTCTTCCATCACGTGTCTTGTTTTGGGTAAGCACAGTGGAGTCGATAGGCAAGACTCAAACTAAACATACGCCAGATCCAGTTGGTCAGAAGCAGCACAACAAACTTAAGAGCCCAGTGGCACCTTCAAGACCAACAAAGGTTTATTCAAGGAATGAACTTTCGTGTGCACACACGCTTTTTCCAAATAAGTAGGATGGCAAACAAAAGTTCAAACTTAAGGCTATTTGATAAAGTGTGCGTTGAATAAACCTTTGTTGGTCTTTAAAGGTGCCACTGGACTCTTACATTTGTTAAAGATTTGCCAGAACTCCATGTGCTCCATCCCCTCAACTACTGGAACTAAACTACCTCCACTGCCCACCCCGCCCCCAGGATCTGATCAGATCAGCTGCCTTCCATCTCCATGGCAGGCTTGCAAACAGCCACTCTGCCGGCTGGCCACAAGGAGCGCTTTCACGTGGCCGGGCAAGGAAGTCCGTCAACTGGGAAAGGGTCACCTCTCCACCCAGCTACTTTCAGGGTCGAGTGTAGCCTGTGGTTTTTGTCAGATAACTTTCTTCAGTGCGATCCAAACACGGTGCCAAAGTGAGGCCGAATTCTGCCCTCCGCATATATTTTGCTGATGTATGTTCATCATCTCTCTCCCTCCTGCATCACTGACTCTGGTTCTGCTCATCATCAAGAGGAGTACGAAGCCAGAGAGGGTACGAAGCCAGTCCCGGCCACAGGGAGTCTTATTTATCCACTCCAGCTTCTGAGATTTGCAGCTCAAGAGGAATGCACTTGAGGCTCATTTGCAGGGAAGACCATTCAGTTTTAAATTTGTTTGATGTGAACTTTTCCTTCTAAGAAAGGAAATGCCTGCCTTCCTTCACAAAGCCAGAGAGAAGAAACACACCCTTCCCAAGCGTATTATGTGAGCCCATCACTCTTTATCGCTGTTTTCTTCACATTTAAAGATAAAGATAACTTTCTTCAGTGGAGAAATACACAACTCTTGAGACATCGGCTACCTCTGTGCAAAAGGAATACAGCAGTAGCAGAGTGTTTTAAACTGAAAACCCGCTTATTCTTGTTCAGGGACCCATTGTTTCCCCTTTTGAAACACATACAATTTGGTGCAATAAGCCACATGCTCCTGCCGGGAGCCGTGTTAGTCTGTCTGTAGCAGTAGAGATAAGAGTCCAGTAGCACTTTAAAGACCCACAAAAGTCTCCCACAAATGTTGTTAGTCTTTAAGGCACTACTGGACTCTTGCTCTTTTCTACTCCTGCCAGAGTTATGGTTTCAAAAGTCAGTAGCTCAAGCCCCACTGAGACACAAATAACTCATTTTTTCTAGCCCAGCAACAGAGTTCCCTCTAAGACGAGTTAGCGTGAGCTAGCTCACAGTTTTTTTAGCCTCCAGCTCACTGATTTTTGTCTTAGCTCAGGAAGGAGGGCTCCGGAGCAAGCTAATTTATGCAGCAGCCAAATCGCTCGCTCAGAACTTTAATGCCAGGAGCTCACAACGTAGAATTTTTGCTCACAAGACTCCACAGCTTAGAGGGAGCATTGTCCAGCAACACTTCTTTAGTCTGCACCTTGACAAAAGCCAGCTCCAAAGCAGCAGCCATTGGCTACGTCCAACTCCGTGAAACAAGACCAGATTCCCCACCCCAAAAAAGGCTCTGTCTGGAATTGGCAAAGAGCGCAAAGGGCAGCCGGAAGCCAGTGGGCAAAAGTTACTAGTTACGCGATACACACATTTGCCTCCACTTCCAGAGAAATCTCCAAATGGATCGACTGAAGGAGGAAGTAGGAGGGAAAATACAAGAAGGGTAAAAATACTCAGGATCAACAGTTGACGTGGGAAGGGAAGACTCAGCACTGGATTAAAACACAGATCCTTAGTGGGACACAAGCAGCTTGTCTGGTTTGCTGAGAGGACAAACCAAAGTGACATTTGTTTTTACATTAAAGAACCCTTCTCCCCCCCCCCCCCAATTCCATTCTTTTTAGGGTGAAGACACACCATGCATACCAATTATGTCCTCTTCTTTAAAATAATAAAAAAAGAACTGATTTAAGCCAGGAATGTTCCTTGGCAGACAAATCAATGCCCGCAATCAAACAACCCAAGTTCAGCATTCATTCTGGAAATCCACCAGCACAAACTAAAGATTCACCTAAGGAGAAAGTTTTATTACCTCCTCTTTCCGTTGCCAGGTCCTGTAGCGCAGCAACATTTGAACGAACCACACAGGATCAGGGCCGCATTACAGCTTTCGTGGGACCCAGGCACTTCTGCCTTTGTGGGGCCCTCCCACCATAATAGCATCAATATTAAAAACTGGCTTCGATGTAACTTTAAATACTTCAACGTTTTATTTTATTTTCTGTTTTGGGCAAAATGTGATCGATTTCCGTGGGCCCCAAACATTTCATTTTTTCTGATTTGGGGGGGGGGGAATTAAAACGTTTTCTTCAACCCTAAGAGTTCATCTTTTTTTCTTCTGATTTTAAAAGAAATTAAAAGATTTTTGTGGGCCCCTAAAAGTATTGTAAAGGTTCCAAATTGCAAGTAGATAAATAGGGACCACTTCAGTGGGAAGGTAACAGCGTTCCGTGTGCCTTGGTGTTTAGTCATGCTGGCCACATGACCACGGAAACGTCTTCGGACAGCGCTGGCTCTTCGGCTTTGAAAGGGAGATGAGCACCACAACCCTAGAGTCGGATTCGACTGGCTTTTGAGCAAGAGAACCTTTACCTTTTAAAAGTATTGTGGGCCCTAGGCACTGTGCCTACTGTGCCTTGTGGATAAGTCGGCCCCGTACAGGATGGGTGACTCACAGCAGTTGCTCTATCAGCGCCACACCTGCCCGGGGACTACGCATCAACAGTATGGTTTATTCCCCACACGAGTCTATCATTCAGATGTTACCAGAAGAGTGGGAGAGCCAGGCTCAAGGAAGCAGCCCAAGCACCACACACCAGTCATACATGAATGGGGCCTAAAATCTCTGGTTAGAGCCTTTAAACGGTGACACGACAGAACCGGAACCCATGTAACTCGTTTCATTGCTTTCCACCGCTGCAACGGAGGGGATAGAGAAAGACAGGTCCCATTCTTCCCATAGAGGGAGGTGGCTGAAACACTCTTTGAGATGAAAATGCTCCTAATGATCAGGCCTTAAGACAAGGGAGCACTTTCACCATGTTACGATGGCAAAGCATTCCACAAACCCATCCTCTGCCCGACCCCACACGTTTTTTGCCTTTGCAAACAAGAGACTGGGATGCACTGTTCAAATCCGACAGTACTCCAAAGCCTCTTTCTTAACGGGCGCAGTACCTTATTTAGAGGACTGACTACCCACACAGAGTACTTTGGCGGAGGAAACACTCAATTATGGATTTAAATCCAGGTCCTTCCCACCCAAAAAAAGCCAGATTCTACAGATGGAACGAGATGATTCATTTTGTTCAACTGATGCAATTGGACACTGATTCAAAAAAACAAAAACAAACAGAATCCGCACTCTCTTTTTCCGGTACTTTTGAGAGGAAGGGAGAGCAGAGAGGAAGGTGGGCGGGGGACAGCTAGAACTGACCGCGAGGGGATTCTGCTGAGGCAGCGTGATGGAGAGAAGGCAAGGTGGGCCCATGCTCACACCTCCAGGGAGCCACTACGATTCTCGTGACTAGGCAGTAAAGTATTCTGAGGTCCCAGAAAGGCAGAAATCCTCTTTCCATGGCCATAATTGCCTGCTGCAATCCCTGCAGTGAAGCGGCTCAGAGACAAGTCTGCTGAGTCCAGCTGAGGCTGTGGGGACTGAACCTCCATCATGTCCGCTTTTCCACCCAGTCAAATCTTCAGGGCTACTGAAGCACCTGGAGTTCTGTTAGTCTGAGGGCGGATAAGGCGTTTATCTCCCACGCCAAGGACGGGCACGGAATCTGTTTAAGCCACTTACTGTCAATAATATCCCCAAGCCCTTGAGCGCGAAGAAGGTCCTTGAGCCGCGTAACCTCTTCTTTCAGCTCCCGCACCAGTTTGGCATTGGGATCTTCGTTGATAACGGCATTGCATTTGATCTGCTTGGCCCGATCGGCGTATCTGGACAGTCAGGCGGATATGGCGGCAGTTCATTTTTTGTTGAGGCAGGTGGAGGATATCAAAATACGATAATCCCCCCCCCCAAATCACTCAATGACCTCCACCCACCCACTTACAGACCAACATACCAGGACAAAGAAAAGAAGATGGAAAAAATTAAGGGGGGGGTGAACAGAAAAGGTGAAAGATGAACAAGAAGAGGGGGAGGGGGAGGGGAGGTGACGCACATGTCAAGACTTCACTGAATTCTATTTATTTTGGAGATTTCTACCTTGCCTTTCAATCAGCGAACAGAAAAGGTGAAAGAAGAACAAGAAGAGGGGGAGGGGAGGTGACGCACATTTCAAGACTTCACTGAATTCTATTTATTTTAGAGATTTCTACCTTGCCTTTCAATCAGCGAACCAACGAGCACTTTAGAATACATTAAGACAAGGAAACAGGTTTTCATACAAAACATGGCTCTTGACTTCAACCGATTTACAACCTCGGATCAGCACAAACCAGGCCAGTTCGTGAAGCACAAATTGGGGTTCAGAAGACCAGTTCATCCCATGAACTCGCCCACGAACCTCCATGTTTTCATGGAGGTTCATGGGCAGGTTCGGAAGTGAGCTCCAAAGGCACTTAAATGCCTTCAGAGCCCAACTCTAGGTTGACTCAACTCAACTTTGTTGATCACATATTTAGCACCACTTGTAAGCCACTCAGAGACCCCCTGAGAAAGGGGGTTCGAGCGGGATATAAAGTCTTTTTTATAAAAAAACTTATTTATTTATTTATTTAGGCATTTTTACCCCGCCTTCCCCGCAAGCGGGCTCAGGGCAGCTTACACGGGGCATGAGCCCATACATAAAACTAGATACAACAGTAAAAGCATGAATACTAATAACAATAATAAGGTGCTTTCTGTAAACAAGGCAATCTTGAGTGGTTTTGATGGCGTCCTCAATCCTCCCCCCATTGGGGTGGCACTGTCCAGCAGATAGTTCGAGCCAATCCCACATAGTCAGTGCCATGCAATTTATGGCGGAACTTCCAAGGGCGATTCCTAATCCTGATGGTATCGCCACCATTGGTGGTGGTGGCAGTGGGCGCCCCTATGCAAAAGCCTGGCGGAAGAGCTCCGTCTTGCATACCCTGCGGAACTGCATAAGGTCCCACAGGGCCCTGATCTCCTCCGGGAGCTCGTTCCACCAGGTAGGGGCCGCCACTGAAAAGGATCTAGCCCTGGTCGCAGCAAGCTTTACTTCCCGGGGGCCTGGAAATCACCAGGCGGTGTTGGGTCCCCGACTGAATTGCTCTTGGGGGTATATATGGGGAAAGGTGGTCCCTCAGGTAAGTCGGACCCTGGCCATGTAGGGCTTTAAAGGTGAGTACCAGCACTTTGAAGCAGATTCGGTACGCTATTGGCAGCCAGTGCAGCGCTTTCAACCCAGGCCGGATGTGCTCCCACTTGGGGAGACCCATCAGCAGCTTAGAGTGAGCTCTAAGGCTTTTAGAGGCCTTATATGCCCTTAAATGGGCAGTACCCACTTGGAAATGGGCTCCAAAGGCCTATAAAAGCCTTCAGAGCTCAATCTGGCCAGCCTGACCCAGAGGTGGGCTCAGAAGGCATTTAAATGCCTTCGGAGCTCACTTGGGTTGGGATGGTGGGCTCAGACGGCATTTAAATGCCTTCAGGGCTTGATTCCGGTCAGGCTCACTTCCCCACAAACTTCTGAAGCACAGTTTATGCAATGGAGAAGTTTGGGGTTTGTGAAAACTCCCAAAGCACAAAGCTCCACGAACCTCCATTCTTCCAGTTCCTGCCCATCCCTACTCTTGAGTCATCTCTCAGCTGCACAGAGATACTGGAGGTACATGATTTAAAAGCTTTTTCCAGCCCTCTGTCCCTTCAGGAGCTTCAAGGAGCTCTGGGGAAACGGCTCCTCCAGGATATTTGCTGTCAACCGAAGTTTCTAGAAGTTACGCACACAGCAGTTCCACCACATTCTTAAAACTCACAGTTGCTTGATTCACACAGACTACACAAGGCACTACGTTTCTATGGCATTACCGGTTAAAAGCGGGGCTCCATAACTCTCCTCTCCCTGCTTGGATTTTAGGGTTCCACAGGCGATACTAAACAAGCAGTGGAAGGAAAGCCTCAGCCAGCCTCCAATTCACTGTTCAGAGGCTTGCCATTTAAGCGTCACATGACAAACGGGGGGACAGAAGGCAAAACAGAAAGCGCAGAGGTTCCACAACACGTTCCAGAGAAATACCTTAAAGTGCTTAAAGTTTCATCATAGTTTATATCTGCCGGACTCAAAGCAGCCACCATGGCCGTTCTGGAGTTGCCACCTACAAGGCAGGAAAAAAGATGGTAAGATCAAACCTAAGTTAATAGCTGGGACCGACAATTTCCTGTAAGTCACAAATCGGACTCCTGGCTAAGAAAGGCGACATAATGGGGACAATAAGAAGCAAAAAAGGGACAGTTTATTATGCACAGAGATACTGGAGGTACATGATTTAAAAGCTTTTTCCAGCCCTCTGTCCCTTCAGGAGCTTCAAGGAGCTCTGGGGAAACGGCTCCTCCAGGATATTTGCTGTCAACCGAAGTTTCTAGAAGTTACGCACACAGCAGTTCCACCACATTCTTAAAACTCACAGTTGCTTGATTCACACAGACTACACAAGGCTGCACAGAGATACTGGAGGTACATGATTTTAAAGCTTTTTCCAGCCCTCTGTCCCTTCAAGAGCTTCAAGGAGCTCTGGGGAAACTGCTCCTCCAGGATGTCAACCGAAGTTTCTAGAAGTTACGCACACAGCAGTTCCACCACATTCTTAAAACTCACAGTTGCTTGATTCACACAGACTACACAAGGCACTATGTTTCTATGGCATTACTGGTTAAAAGTGGGGCTCCATAACTCTCCTCTCCCTGCTTGGATTTTAGGGTTCCACAGGTGATACTAAACAAGCAGTGGAAGGAAAGCCCCAGCCAGCCTCCAATTCACTGTTCAGAGGCTTGCCATTTAAGCGTCACGTGACAACTGGGGGGACAGAAGGCAAAACAGAAAGCCCAGAGGCTCCCCATCACGCTCCAGAGACATAACTTCTTTCATTTCATTTATTAGATTTATATCCCGCCCTCCCCCGTAGGGCTCAGGGCGGCTTACATAGTAAAAGATCTTACCATAGTAAAACATCAATTTAAATTACATTTAAAACAAGTTATACAGTTTAAAAACAATAAATACAATACATTAAAGTGCTCAAATAAATGAAATGAAATAAATGAAATGAAATAAGAAGCAAAAAAGGGACAGTTTATTTTATCCCTTAAGTGGGGTACGCATTTGAATGATGACACACAAGCCTTGTGTCTAAGAGGCTGTAAGTCCTTACTGGCTCCCGGGTCTCAGAAACAAACAGACAAATCTGACCTTCATTAGACTTCACAATGACCATTTTTCTAGAACCATGACAAGCATTAAACAACAGCAAAATAAAGCCAAGATTTGCTAAACCTTAATGGGGTTTACACATGAAGCTGACTCACACTGAAGAAGAAGAGAAGAGATTGGATTTATACCCCGCCCTTCACTACCCAAAGGTGTCCCAGAGAGGCTTACAAACTCCTTTCCCTTCCCCTCCCCACAACAGACACCCTGCGGGGTAGGTGGGGCTGAGAGAGCTCTGACAGAAACTGCTCTTTTTCAAGAACAGCTCTTATCAGAACTACGGCTTTCCCAAGGTCATCCAGCAGCTGCGAGTGGAGGAGTGGGGAATCAAACCTGGTTCTCCCAGATTAGAGTCCGCGCACTTAACCACAACACCAAACTGGTCTACCAAACCCAGTATTGCCTACTTTGACTGGCAGCAGTTCTCTGGGGTTACTACCTCAACTTCTGAACTCGAATCTGTGACGTTCTGCATGCTGTTTTAGTGAATGCTCTTTTAGAGAGCCTCAAGCCAGAGGGCATCTCTTATGAATCTGCCTTACACTGAATCAGACCCTTGGCCCACCAAGCTCGGTATTGTCTACTCAGACTGGCAGCGGCTCTCCAGGGACTCTCCTACTGCCTGGTCCTTTTAATTGGAGATACCAGAGACTGAACCTGGGACCTTCTGCATGCCAAGCAGAGGCTCTGCCACTGCGCCACAGCCCCTCTAAGCCGCAGTCTCAAAGACGGTGGCTCTGTCGTGACCTAAATGTGGCACAGCGAAAAGGAAATCGATAACCAGCTGTACATTTAAACTCGAGGAGAGCTTTCTCCGCATCAGCATACCTAGGTTTTCCCGAAGTAGCCACGTCAGCACAGAATCCCTGTACGGAATAAAGTCAGTCTTCTTTTTCTTCTTGCTCTGCAAATAGACATTTAAGTACTGTAAAACCTGTTCTCTGTCTCTTTTAAGTGACATCTTTTCTAAAAATGATTTCAAACGGTGATTAAAGCATGTGATGCAGACACCTAAAAAGAAACGGCAGTGAGAAATAGTGACAAGTGGGAAGAGAGGGAAGGACAAAAATGGAGTGATGATTCAGGGGCCAGAATCCAAAGAACTCCTGCGAGGATGCCTGAGGGTTTGGGAATGCCTGGCAGTAAGTCCATTTCACCATCACAGTCTCCTCTGGGAAGCCCTCTCAGAGTCAAAAAGCAGCTTGCTATGGGGTGACTGCTGAGAAAACCAAGCCTAAGGCATCCTTTGGGGGGAAGAACTACTTTGGGTGAAGAACTACTTATACATCGCTTCAGATTCTGGGGGGGGGAGGGGGAGGAGGAGGAGATTTGATTTATACCCCGCCCTTCACTACCCAAAGGTGTCTCAGAGCGGCTTACAAGCTCCTTTCCCTTCCCCTCCCCACAACAGACACCCTGTGAGGTAGGTGGGGCTGAGAGAGCTCTTTTCAAAACTGTCCAAGAGAGAACAGCCCTGACAGAACTATGGCTTGCCCAAGGTCATCCAGCAGGTGCAAGTGGAGGAGTGGGGAATCAAACCCGGTTCTCCCAGATTAGAGTCCGTGCACGTAACCACTACACCAAACTAGCTAACGAATAGCCTGTGGGCCAAATCTGACCCTGAAAGCAACTTCTCATAGCCATTTACACTCAAGGTGCCAGACCTCAGGCTTAAAGAAAGAAGTATTTTAAGTCCTGTGAAATAAAGAGATTCCATACTGTCGTATTTCTGTCCTAGCTCTGCCTTTATTTTTATTTTGATATTTATACCCCACTTTTATCCACAATCAAGAGCCAAAGCAGCAACATTATTTCCCTCTCCTTCTGTTTTTAGCCTCACAACAGCCCTGCGGGGTAGGTTAGCCTGAGAGACCATGACTAGCCCAAGGTCACCCAGCCAGCTTCCATGGCAGAGTGGGGAAAGAACAGTTGGAAGTGGGCCGACAAACTACAATGTGCACTAACTCTGGAATGGCTTGACGGCTGAACCACAAAACCAGCACTGTAGTCATTGCTCCATGAAGTAGGAGCGCCAAGCAGCCAGACAATGAAAGCAGGCAAGCATCATAAAACCATGGTTCGCTCATGTATGTCTGGAACCTCAAAACATGGTTTGGATTTCAAACGACGGTTAGCACACTCTGAGGGTTGGTGCAATATGTGAATTGAGCTATGGCAAATAGCTTCTTTAGCTGAATCTGAAAGAAGAGTCCGCCACAGACGTGTTACGGACAACAAGCGGACACCACTTTAAAGCATCCCATGTGAGAGCCATTACCATGGAGGGATCTGTCACGCTGTACAAATCTTCTTATACAGTTCTACTTACAACCAAAATTAATACACATCACAAATAGTTTTGCCACCATGCATAAATGACAACTGCACCAGTTGAATAGTGACCTAACAGTCCTTGAAAGTACAACTCTCTCTTCAGATTGATGCGGTCACCTTTCGTGCAGAGGAGTAGTAGACGGCATGAGCTCAAGACCAGCTGTGGTGCGAACCAAAGGAGCAGCAACGGCACGCCTAGGTTGCTTTGCCGTTTCTTAGGGCTTCATCAGGCCGCATTTCTTAGGGATGGAGCTCAACCCGGCTCTGGCAAGATTCAAAATGACACAAAGTCTACCAGTATGTTCCAAGTAGCGAGGAATCAGACTCTGGAAACTATTAGGTCACTATTCAACTGGTGCAGTTGTCATTTATGCACGGTGGCAAAACTATTTATGATGTATAATAATTTTGGTTGTAAGTAGAACTGTATAAGAAGACAGTCGTCTCAAGTGTGATTTGTACAGTGCGACAGATTATTCTGTTTATTTGTTTGTATAACTGCATTCGCTGTATTTCCATTTTTGTGTGTTTGTTACCATGGAGGGAGTTGCTCACATGCAAAAAGCTGCACCAGGTGATTTACTCTATGCCGCCTACTGTGAAGTGGTGGGAGGAGAAGGCGTCTGATTCACAACAGTGAGACACAGAACGCCATCAGCCCACCCCGTGGCAACGGCCATCACCTGGAGCCGCTAGAACCAGCCAGCCACCATACGGCAATCGCCACAGACGTTCTCGTACAAGAACACTGGACAGCACAGCTGCTTTGTTGCCAGCAGATGTGCAGAGGGAGCAAACAGCCCAGAGGATGGTTATATATCTAGAATTAGTGCCTGATCCAAGTTAGTTCTGTTAAGATTTATTTGTACATTGCCTGCGAGAATTTAAAGTCCCGGCAATCAATACTCCCTCTAAGCTGTGGAGTCCTGTGAGCCAAAATTCTACTTTGTGAGCTACTGGCATTAAAGTTGTAAGCGAGCAATTTGGCTACTGCATAAATCAGTTTGCTCTGGAGCCATCCTTCCTGAGCTGAGACAAAAACGTGTGAGCCGGAGGTTAAAAAACTGTGAGCTGGCTCACACTGACTCAGCTTAGAGGGAACACTGCCGGCAATGTGCTACACACAAATCACCCTCGCACAGAATAAAAAAGGCAGCTCCTGGCCTTGAGAGCCCTATCGTTGCAACAAGAGACAAGTACAGTCTTACAGTTTTATTGGCAAATGACTACACATTATGTGGGAGATCCACACAAGAGCTCTCCCAACGTGCATGTAATGTTAACAAGCAGTCAGAAGTGGATGCACATGTTTTTGGGGGGGTGAACACCCCTCCATTCACAGTTTGCCCAACACCAGTGAGTGGAGTGACTTGTATTAAGAAAACACCCCAGGGGACAGAGTTGAATGATACGTTGTGCGTATGGCAGAACCCCACATACGCAAACTCTGGGAGCTGCTTTGTAACACTGAAAAATACACTGGGAGATCAGACTAAGGATTTCCCTCCTCCTATGTGGTTCAGCCCTAACGGTTATTTCATCTCGAGCGAAGCTCCTATTGCTTCGCTAAACTAGATATTAATTCTGAGCTGCAAGGAGACAAGTGAGTTATTTCTATTTCTACAATAGGGGGAAATCATGTTAAGTCAAGATCAGGGATACATGTCATGCTTTTGACACTGAAATTCTCTTTTCCTTCAGGTGCAATGGGTGGCTTGGAAACACCTGATACTGCAGGCTTGCCGAAGCAGGTGTGAACCCCTTGATGAGTGAACACGGCAAGCCCCCAGGTAAGAGCCATATAGAACAGAAAGAAATGCATTTAGATAGTCGATGGCTCCACTCTGGAGCAGGCCACATAATACTGAGAGATCAGCCACTCTCACTGTAATGTTAGACTAGTGAGAACTCAGCCTTAGAGCCCCAAATCAGTGCTATTCTCCATGGATCCCTGCCTCCTGGCTTCTCTCATCCTCAGGGAACGGGGGTCCAGTGCTCCCTCTAAGCTGTAGAGTCTTGTGAGCAAAAATTCTACTTTGTGAGCTGCTGGCATTAAAGTTGTGAGCGAGCGATTTGGCTACTGCATAAATTAGTTTGCTCTGGAGCCATCCTTCCCCAGCTAAGACAGAAATGTGTGAGCCGGAGGCTGAAAAGCTGTGAGCTAGCTCACACTAACTCAGCTTAGAGGGAACACTGCCAGGGTCTATAAACTACCAAGACCTAGTCACCAAAGACTACTATTTTGCTTCTTCCCCCCCACCCCCGCCGTCATACCTTGTTGGTGCAGTTATCCTAAATTTGGAAGCATTGAAAGAAGAAAGGAAGAATACAGAAATAAGTTTGCAGAGCAGGGGAGAATAGGTTATTGAAATAGGAACCAGTGATCAGAAAACATACAAACATTACTTTCCGAGGCGTTAAACAGCATTCCTTTTAAGAAAAGAACCATCAAGCATGTAACCCAGATCCTATGGCAGTTGTGAAAACTGTCAAGGGCTTGACTGAAGGAGGAGAGGCTAGAAACAGGAAGTGGAGCAGGGGTCATTTCCTGCAGGAGCGCACAGGAGCGGAGCTCCGGCAGTAAAGAGCCCAGGGGGTGGGCATATGCAACAAGCCCCACCCCCTACTCCCAGCTGCCCTCAGTCAGAGCAAGAAGCAGCCAGGAAAGTTGCAGAGCTCCCCCTGCCCCCCTATCCAAAACAGTCCAGTGGCACCTTTAAGACCAAGTTTTATTCAGGTACAAGCTCTCCCTCCTCTGCCAGGACAGATCTGCACATTCCCCCATCCCCTCCCCCCAAATAGCTAGCAATCCAAAACAGTCCAGTGGAGCCTGAGCAGTGGGTGTTGCCTTCTGACGCACTTCCAGTGATGTCAGGGGGTGTGGCATATGCAAATAAGTTATGCTAATGAGCTATGCAAATGAGCTCCTGCACCTCTTTTTCTACAAAATGACCCCTGAAGTGGAGTATCAGCTGGGTAGAAGGGGAGGAGCCTGCATGCATGTATGTAGGAATCTCTGGGGCTGGGCACCGTTCCACATGAGCAGTGCGCTGGAGCCCAGCTACATGTGACTCATCTCTTGTGAGAAGTACACAGATGCCAGACCGCTGGCTGAAAACATTTCCCTGGAAGAGAGGCAGAAAATGCTGAGGGAGCTGGCCAGGTGCTCCCCCCCCCATCCGTTCTTTCTCTCCAATGATCCTCCTCCTCCTTTAGCAGTTCGTCCTCCCTTGGGATTGAGGAGGAGGGGATCAGCGGGGACAACCAGCTGTTAAGGAGTGACAAGATAAGCAGAGAAAAAAAGCAGAAGGTAACCAGCAGCTCTGCAGTCTCCTGCGCCTTTCTCTGCTTGTCTCCAGGGGGGGGGGTGTCTCAAGAATCTGGGCAGTTAGAGCCAGTGCCCCCCTTTGGAACTGGTATTACGTTAAAAATCCTACTAAGGTTCTTTTTTTAAAAATTCGCTTCAAAGACATTTACAAACCTGATAAAGCGACAGACTAGAGAATCGCCGTCATGCCATGAATGCACCAGGCCCTCCAGAGGAAGCCCTCCCTTTGGATGACTTGAGCGGCCTTGTGAAGTTTGATTTTTATTTTTTTATTTTTTTAAAGGGAATAGTTGAAATAGTTTGAGCCTTACCACTTCTGCCAAGGCTGAAATGACTTTTCCCAACGTGGTGAGAGATTTGTTGATGTTTGCGCCTTCCTGGAATGGTAAGCAGACGTTTGAGGCTGAAGTTGCCCAAAATACAAACACACACTTGGAAAAAAATAATACCACGGCCACCCGCTTCGCTCGAAACATATTGCATCTCTTTCCTTTATCACTAATGGTTCGGTCTACATTTTATGCGTTTATTTTTAGCACTGAAGACTCCGGTGTTTCACATTCTTTTTTTCCCTCAAAAACAATTTATTAGGATATATTATTAAGTCAAATACAAGTTATATTAATAGTTGTTATACATCCTTTTTCCTGTCCCTCTCCCCCCCTTGGCTTCCCACAGTGCTCCAAACCTCCAGCCCATTTCTTAAATTTTCTTCTATTTTTCCCTTATCTTTTAATCATCATCTACCGGTAACATTTCTTTCACCTATTGTTTTCTTATAGTTATCCGTTTTCTAATAACACACACTTTTCAATAACTGTCAAAGCAAATTAAATTGTCTTTTACATCCCAATATTTCTCTAAACAATTTTCAAAATCCCTCCAGTCTGCACAGAATTCCTCTGCTTCCAGACTCCTAAGTTTCCCCGTCATCCTGTCCATCTCAACCACAAACAATAGTTTCCTTATCCAATCCCCATTCTCCGGGACCCTGTCCCGCCTCCAACATTGAGCACAAGTCACCCCGGCCGTTGTAATCATATTGGTGTTTCACATCCTTGATCTTCCTCTTGTGTTTCCATTCAGAACAGAAAATCTGTACCACTGGGTCCTATGCAGAGTAGGCCCTGGGTCAAACTAGAGATGCAGGGGAAGGAACGCTACCCTCCGAACATCAGTAAACTGTGCCGCCACTTCACGAGTGGGATTCTGCAAGCAAGAGAGCCTGTGTGGATGGGATTCTATGTGCAACAGACACTCCAGCGCTTGCAAACAATTCTTTGCTTGGCGGGCAGAGTTTTAAACAAGAGGCACGGAGGTTAACCTCTCACAACGACTCGTGAGGACACTGCGCGCACACACACAAGAAAAGGCATCACGAGCTGTTCCTACCTCCAAAGGAAGTTCAGAAAACTTATTGAGGGCCAAAAGTTAAAAACATAAGTAAGTATACAAAAGAGAGTTTATTTCAGAGAGATATAAAAATCTAGTTGGGGCCCAAATACAGCCTCATAAAATGTTCAAAGTTACAGATACACAGAAAAAAGGACAGTGCATGACCTGATGCGTTTCGGCTCACAGGAGCCTTCTTCAGAGGTCAAATAGTGCAAAATACAACAAGCGACAGAGTCCCTGTAACACATGTAAGGCAATTAACAATAAATAAAATAGGACCAAAATTGGAATGTTCCAATATGGAACTGAATGACACACCAAAAAGTTTCTGTTTGGGGCCACAAATATGTCTGCCTTGTGTAAGAAGTGGTGGTCTATACTGGAAATAATATGTACCTTCCAGTTTAGGTCCTAAGAGTGCCAATAAAATTGCCTTGTTGTCAGGGACAATGTGCCGTCAATACGTAACAGTGCTGTTCCCCAGCAGGGCCCCGCCCCCGGAAGTATTCTCAGCCTCCTCTTTCTAAAAGCTGCCCACAGCCCGGCAAAGCCGGCTACAGAAACACATACCTTTAGCCGAGTCCCTTTGGCACCCGTGGAGTCCGCCCTCTCGCTCCCTGCAAGATCCACAAGGCTGATCTTGCTCACCTGAAGAGAGAAGATCAGTCAAAACAAAAGCCACTGTAGGATTCCACGGCGGACAAACAGCACGTCCACAGGTGGGCAACATAGAGTGACCCACACCGAGCCCGAGGCAGGTCTGATGCTGAAGCTGAAGCCACCATACCACCTGGCCCAGGTCAAGAGGTTCGAGAGACTAATGGTGCCAGCTGGAAACCTCTGTATGAGGATGAACAGTGCGCTCTGTTTCAACTGATGTTGGTTTTAAATTGTCCTAATTGTTTATATCTATATTTTATCTGTTTGGAATTTCTGATGAGCTCTGATACTGGGTTGTGATCCACCCCGAGCCCTCTTGCGGGGAAGGGCGGGATATAAATTTGAATAATAAATAAAAAACGGGACAGTCGCCAGCACGATCTGCAGAACCTCCAGAAGGACATGAATGCCGGGGCTTCTGCCATCGGCAAGCAGGAAGTCTCTGCACGAGAGTCCCCCGTGTCCCCCCCGGGGGGGCAGGGAGCCCTCCAGCAGCACTCCCCACTCCCCCTCACTTCCAGACATCCCTCCCTCCCTCCAAGATGGGAAGAAAAAGATCTCTGGCGCAACCAAAACTCACACGTACCTAACCAGGCGTGCAATTTTTGCCGCTTTAGGCAAAAAGAATACACTTCTAATGACCGCAAGCTTATTTGATGTGTTTATATGGCGCGCAGGATTGTGAGTTCACCAGGCACGAGGTTTAGATTTGGGGGTGGGGAAGGGGGATGAAGCTCCTGTCATCCGGCCAGAGGGATGATTTGTGCTTCTGACTCTTGGACTGTGATAAAGAACAAGAGTCAGCGAGACAGCTGTGCTCCCAACACTCTGCGCAGCACACACACCGGAGGGACGGGAAGCGTGAGGGAGAGGGGCCATGCACTGCTCGGGCTTTTGTGCAGAGCAGGAGAAATCTCTATTGTTCAAACCTGACAGGTCCTAAAATAATACACAGTGCTGGAGCTTCTCTTCTTTTGTGTGTTCTGAAACGGTATTTTAAGGCCAGGAAGCTTCTCTCCTCCCACCTGCCCTTCCCCGCTGGCAGCCTGCTTCCTTCTAACTGAAATACCCCATCGCAACTTTAAAAACCGGCTTGCGCACTGCCGCCACCAAACGGAGCCGGGCCTACGGGGAGGTTGCAGAATGAGGGAGAGTTAATGAGCCAGTAATTAGTTAAGCCCTGCCAAGCAGAAACACTGAGGCTTCTGTGTACGGGGAGGGCGATTTGGTTTGCTTCCTCATTAGGTTGCGGAGTTCATCCTCCCCGTTTCTACCCTCATTCCTAGTATTCTGCCCGCATCAAACACACATCTCAGGAAGAGCCCAGTTAAGCATCCAAAGCAAGTCTACAAGAACAAAGCTCTCTAACACAAAACAGGTGATTCTGCTATGTGGATTAGGATGAGGTCCAACCCAATCCCGTGTCTCTAAATGCGTGGGAAAGAAGCCACTCTCAGTGCCTCCCCACTCCAGGGAGTGTGTGATTAACTGCAAGGATTCCACTGGCCCTGCCTGCTTCCCACACCCCAGCCCTGAGATGTCCTACCTTCTCGGTGGAAAGGTCAGTTTCGGGGTCGTGTTTCTTCTGAGTGAAAACACACATCTCAGGAAGAGCCCAGTTAAAACACACACATACGAGAGCATCCAAAGCAAGTCTGGAAGAACAAAGCTCTCTAACACAAAACAGGTGATTCTGCTACGTGGATTAGGATGAGGTCCAATCCCGTGTCTCTAAATGCATGGGAAAGAAGCCACGCTCAGTGCCTCCCCACTCCAGGGAGTGTGTGATTAATTGCATGGATTCCACTGGCCCTGCCTGCTTCCCACACCCCAGCCCTGAGATGTCCTACCTTCTCAGTGGAAAGGTCAGTTTCGGGGTCGTGTTTCTTCTGAGTGAAAACAATGGTGAACACTGCATGTGAGCGACTGCTGGTTTCATTCATGTTCGTAGCAGCAACCGTCCTTGGGAAGAAAGAGAGGCAAAGGGGGGGAAGGGATTTCAATTTTTTTTCCCCTGGAAAGTAAGAGGCCTACAAAACAGCCTGGCAGCTCCAGCATTTAAACAAAATCAAGCAACAGAAACAGAAACAGAAATCAAGTAACCATTTGTTACATGGAACACAGAGGTGAGGACCAGACTGACTACCTGAGCCCGAAGGAAGTGTGGCTGAGATTCTCTGCTCTGTTCGTAATATGACAAACTGGGCTTTTCAGAGTTGGGACTCTGAATTGCCTCCAGAGCTGGCATCAAAGTATGCTAACTTCTCAGAACGGATTTGCAAACCTGGTTAGGCAGCTGCTCGCATGACTGCCATCTTCCCAAAATTTCAAAAAACAGTTTGGAAGATCCAACGTCTCATCAAATGGTTTGAACTAGGATTCGACATAATAGTCAGTTATTAAATTAAAAAGAGGATTTTTCTGATCAGTAAAAACATAAACCAGATTCTAAATATGTGTGTGTGTGTGATTTCATAGAAAAAGAGGTGCGGGAGCTCATTACCATAACCTATTTGCATATGCCAGGGACTCTGAATTGCCTCCAGAGCTGGCATCAAGGTATGCTAACTTCTCAGAACGAGTTTGCAAACCTGGTTAGGCAGCTGCTCGCATGACTGCCATATTGCCAAAATTTTAAAAAACAGTTTGGAAGCTCCAAAGTCTCATCAAACGGTTTGAACTAGGATTTGACGTAATAGTCATTATTAAATTAAATTAAAAAGAGGATTTTTCTGATCAGTAAAAACATAAACCAGATTCTAAATATGTGTGTGTGTGTGATTTCATAGAAAAAGAGGTGCGGGAGCTCATTACCATAACCTATTTGCATATGCCACACTCCCTGACATCACCGGAAGTGTGTCAGAAGGCAACACCCACTGCTCAGGCTCCACTGGACTGTTTTGGATTCCTAGCTATTGGGGGGGACGGGACGTGCAGATCTGTCCTCGCAGAGGAGGGAGAGCTTGTACCTGAATAAG